AGTTATTTAGTCAAGAGCAGATTTGAGCAGAGTGATTTGTTTTTTGTTCTTTAACACAGACTGACAGACAGCAGGTACTAAAAGCTGCTGTCACTTTTGTTTCACTTTCAAGCCTATTGGTTATTGTTAATTAATGTTAACAACAAAAGGCAAAATCACTCACTGCTCTTGACTGAATAAATTTTGTAACTTTAATTTTAAGAATTAATCTTGCCACCTACTGGCGGTTGTAGTTCCATATTTTTAAAAAGTAGCTAATTATTTCATTTTTGCAATCATTTAATACTTCTACATTAAAATGTATTTAAACTTAACATAACTTGTGCAAAATCGATCTATGGATTTTCTTTATAGTGATTTCATTTTATTGTTATTAGCCAACATGTTTTTTATTCAGATTGAATTTATTAAATTTAAGAATCTGACATAAAAAGACACAGATATGACAAGGCATGAACACACATACACGCCACATGCTAAAATTTGTGTTTCTCTGTTCTAATCTTTCCCGCTTTCCTCCGAAAGTGGCTGTCATTTGCAGACGGACAGCGTGAAATTACTTTAATAAAGCTGTATATTGCCGACAAACACATGATGTCTACTATCGGGGCAATTTCAATGATTTTGATCGTGCAAACGGTTGAAGAAAATACACCTTGTTTGTATGTGTCAGCGACCACACATTCAGTTTTATAGGTTTACTTAAAACGGCTCACTCTGTTTTTCCTTTAATGTGATTGGCCATGAAAGGAATTCTGCCCAGCAACAAGAGGACTAATGCACTGATTGGTGGATTACAAAATTGGTCCTTTTGGCCTCGTCTCGTCTGTTCAGTTGACACCACATTTCAAGAAGGAAGTTTTTCTTTGTGTGCTATGTTCGGTAAGTAAAATTATGTAGATATAAAGTTATTTTGTGTGATTTTTTAAGAGTGAAATATGTTTATTTAAATCATTGTGGTACGTTTCTATAATAAAAGACAATGCAGCCATAATTACAATATTCCCGGTCAAACTTTGCCAGCGTAGCCATCAAGTAACGTTAACGATATGGATTTGTGATGGTATGATAACTGAGATATCAAATTATTCTTTATTTGATTTGTAATATGCTACTGAAACATATTAGTTAATACACTTTATCATAGTGTACTCGTGTATTTCTGTGGGAAATAACATGGCAGCCACTTCTGAGATCAGTTAACGTTGTTCCCACACCCCCCACCCCCCGCCGCCGCCAATAATTAACGATACTTTCTTAATGATTTTGTGCTGGTATGATTATTGAAACGACAACTTATTTCTTATTTTACCAGTGAGGTATACATATTTGATGAAGTGGCCTAATAATTTTCCTTTGAGAGAAAGAACATGGCAGCTACTGTTTAACTAGACCCATGTGGGTTAGGTTTTCCCGGGCAAACTTTGTCAGTGTTGCCATTAATTAACAATATTTTCAGGATAATATTCTCAAGGTATGATTGAGAAGTCGACTTTTTTTCATATTTTGACTTGTACAGTGCATTTGTAAAGTGTAAATTATAGGTTAATTGTGTGTTATAAGAACATTGCTACTATAGCTGAGACGAATTAGGCTAGTAATGTTTCATAGATGGTGAAATTACAGACCATCTTCACACTGGTCACCAGTAATTAGCTACAAAGTGATTTACTTATTTAATAGCCATTTCTATCTGATGTACCATCCAGGATGATTGTCACTTTTTAGAGCCAGAGACCAAATGCATCTTTAGGTTTATTTTGGATAACATTGTAAGATTACCATCTTAATTATAATTTAATTTTCTTTGTTTTTGCACTGACTTTGTTAAACTTAAGAATCTGAACCCATTATGTACAGTTCTTACAATGATGGTCACTACTTCAAAGACAATAGCCTTCTCAACAGTGAAGAATTTCGAATAGCTCTAGGATTCTATGTTGATGACTTTTAGGTAGCCAATCCGTTAGGGACATCCAGAGGTGTTAACAAAATTTGTGCAGTTTACTGGGTGTTGGCAAACTTACCTGTAAAACATAGGTCAATGTTACGATCTATCCAACTTGGTCTTCTCTGTAATGCTGGTACAGTAAAGGAGTATGGCTATGAAAAATTAATGCAACCACTTGTTAAGGACCTTGTTCATTTGGAGCAGACTGGTTTATTCATTGATCAGTTGGGAGCAACTGTGAAAGGGACTGTCCTATATGTTTCAGCTGATAACCTTGGTGCTCATTCTATGGCAGGATTCCTTGAGGGTTTTACTGCGGAGAGATTCTGCCGTTTTTGCATGGGAACAAGAACTGAGGTTCAGCACACAGAGGTAGGTTCCAGCAACTTTGAAACTCGCACTAAAGACACTCATGAGAGGCATGTTAAGGAGGTAAAGCAGGATCCTTCTTTGAGTAAGCTGTATGGAGTGAAAGGAAGCTGTCCACTTATTGATGCTTTGCAACATTTTCATGCTGTCACTGGCTACCCACCAGATATTTTACATGACCTACTGGAGGGCATTGTGCCAGCTGAACTCTGTCTCTGCCTTTCAGAGATGATTGAAAAGAAATACATCTCTCTCGAGTCGGTGAACCATGCAGTTAAGAACTTTGCTTACACTTTCTCTGATAAAACTAACAGACCTCAGCAAATTCCAAAGGCTTTTGCCACCAAAGGAACAGTTGGTGGCAATGGCCATGAAAATTGGACCTTGCTTAGACTTCTTCCTCTCTTAATTGGAGATGATGTCCCAGAAGGAGATACTTCGTGGGAAATTTTGATGCTTCTTAAAGATATAGTTGAATTGGCTGTGGCATCAAAACATACAGAAGAGTCCATTGATTTCTTGAAGTGCAAAATAACAGAGCACGGAGAACTGCTGCTATCAACATTCCCTGGTTTTAGATTGAAACCAAAGCATCATTTCGTTGAGCACTACCCCCAGCTGATTAAAGCCTTTGGCCCACTGTCTGATGTTTGGACAATGCGTTTTGAGGGAAAGCACACATTTTTTTAAAAAGTAATTCAAAAATGTAGCCCTCACACTGGCTGTCCAACATCAGAGAATGATGGCATACTATCTGGATTCTAGCTCATTTTTTAGACCCTCAATTGAAATGGACAAAGTCAAAACCGCATTGGTTACGTAATTTCCTGATCATATTCAGCAGGCGTTCCATCAAATTACACCACAGCTAAAGACAGTGCTGATTGTTCCTCTGAGACAGCTGATGGAATTGAATACCGTGCAGATATGGTAATCTCTGCTGGGTCATGCTCTGGTCTCGCAGAATTCAAGATGATATCACAGATTGTAGCAGTGAACTTTGAGATTCTGTTTGTCTGTAAACAAATGTCAGCTTGGTACATTGAGCATATTCGGTCATTCGAACTTTGCAGCAGCCATGTTACTTCCCTCTGTGTGATTCAGATGTCAATGCTCAATGAGGTTTTCCCTCTATCATGTTACACTGTAAAAGACAGGATGGTGGTGACACCTAAACGTTATATCTTGTGCTAAGTGAATGATCCAATGTTTCATTTTTTTTTCTCTCTCTTTTTGTCTCTAGTCTTTTGGTTGCAGTGAAGTCCTTAAAGTCCTGAGGGTTGTTATCAAACTTCATATGGTATTTATGGCCATTCCAACTTAAAGGGTTAGTTCACCCAGTAATGAAAATTCTGTCATTACAGGGTTAGTTCACCCAAAAATGAAATTTCAGTCATTAATTTCTCACCTTCATGTCATTCAAAACCCGTAAGTCCTTTTTTGGAACACAAATTAAGATGTTTTTGATGAAATTCGAGATGATTTCCCCCTTCCAAAGCAGCGGACACTTTCAAGTCCCAGAAAGGTAGGAAAGACATTGTTAAAATAGTCCATGTGTCTACAGTGGTTCAACCTTAATTTTATGAAGCGATGAGTACTTTTGTGTGCAAAAAAAAATACAAATAGAAATAACGACTTTATTAACCAATTTCTTATAAATTAACAAAGTCGTTATTTTAGTTTTTTTTTAGGTTTTTTTTTCAACACAAAAGTATTCTCGTCGCTTAACAAAATTAAGATTGAACCACTGTAGTCACATGGACTACTTTAACGATGTCTTTCCTACCTTTCTGGGACTTGAAAGTGTCCGCTGCGTTGGAGGGGGGAAATCATCTCGGATTTTATCAGAAATATCTTAATTTGTGTTTCGAAGATGAACGAAGGACTTGCGGGGTTTGGAACTACATAAGGGTGAGTAATTAATGACTGAGCTTTCATTTTTGGGTGAAATAACCTTTTAATTACTCACCCTCATGTCGTTCCAAACCCAAAGACTTCAGTTCATCCTCAGAATACTCAGAATGAAATCAGACAGCTTTCTGTCCCTCCATTGACAGCTACGCAACTGACACTTTCAAGTCCCAGAAAGGTAGGAAAGAAATCATTAAAGCAATACATGTGACTCCAGTGGTTTAAGATCAATTTATAAAGGGACTTGGGTGCTTTGTTTGCCCCCCCCCCCAAAAAAAAATTACCTCTTTACACATTATCCAAAAAAGGTTTGCTTAACATTTCTCACATCAACACAACACCCATGTATTGTGATGCTCTTGTGAATGCACATTGGAGAAAATAGCCTTGTGAATAAAGTGGTAATTGTTTCCCCTGCAAACAAAGCACTAGCATTACTTCATAAAATTGAGGTTAAACCACAGGAGTCTTTATCTAGTATAGGATTACTTTAATAATATCTTTTCTATCTTTCTGGGCCTTTAAAGTGCTAGTTGCAAAGGCTGTCAATCGAGGGACAGAAATCTCTGAGAATTCTTTTTTTTTTTTATATCTTCATTTGTATTCGATACATGAAGGAAATCTTACAGGCTTGGAACGACATGAGGGACAGTAATTAATGACAGAATTTACATTGTTGGGTGAACTAACACTTTAATACGCATTTGACACAATTTGTTCACATTTCAGTCAATAGTAATTACTATGTTTTAATTGTTAGATGTCTTAAGAGAAAACTCTCCTAAGAGTTATACTGACAGAAGGGGACATAAGGAAGGTCTCCCTGGCCAAGAAGCCTGATTCAGTTGACAGCTTGGTTGTTGCTTTAAAAGAGAGTTTGGGGCTTAATTATAACTTTTCGCTTCAGTATGAAGATCAGGACTTTGGGAATGCACTTTGCAACCTAACAGACATATCAGAGCTTCAAGATAGAGCTACACTGAAAATCATTCCTATAATTGAACTAGTACCATTTAATCAAGAGGAAGTACTGGATGACTCTGCAAGTACAGCCGACACAGAGACACTTTCTACCTCATCACAGGAAAGGAAAACACAATGGCCAAAAGAATTTGAGATCCCTTCCTTCACAGTTGATGTTGAATACCGCCTGCGACAGGGCAACCTGGCCTACCTCAAGGACAGCACATACCTCAAACTGACCAAAGAACTAAAGCATGACATCCTGGAAAAACTGGCTGAAACCATGTTCAGCTTCAAAGCCTATCCAACAAATGATGACTATGCTCAGGTTGCTGCTGCTCTGGTAAATAAGCATCCATGTCTTCTGGAAAGTGGTTCATCTACTGGGTATGGGGGGTGGAAGAACAGTCTAAAATTCAAAATGGGGAATTTTAGATCCAAGATGAGAAACTTGGGATACCCTGATGTAACCATTAATGGAGGAAGGAGAGGTATGAACAACCCTGAAGGAATCCCGTCAAGAAAACACATAAAAAAGCCAAAGAAATGTGAAATCAACTTTCTGCCAAACTTTCCAGGGTTTAAGATCAATTTATAAAGGGACTTGGGTGCTTTGTTTGCCCCCCCCCCCAAAAAAAAATTACCTCTTTACACATTATCCAAAAAAGGTTTGCTTAACATTTCTCACATCAACACAACACCCATGTATTGTGATGCTCTTGTGAATGCACATTGGAGAAAATAGCCTTGTGAATAAAGTGGTAATTGTTTCCCCTGCAAACAAAGCACTAGCATTACTTCATAAAATTGAGGTTAAACCACAGGAGTCTTTATCTAGTATAGGATTACTTTAATAATATCTTTTCTATCTTTCTGGGCCTTTAAAGTGCTAGTTGCAAAGGCTGTCAATCGAGGGACAGAAATCTCTGAGAATTCTTTTTTTTTTTTATATCTTCATTTGTATTCGATACATGAAGGAAATCTTACAGGCTTGGAACGACATGAGGGACAGTAATTAATGACAGAATTTACATTGTTGGGTGAACTAACACTTTAATACGCATTTGACACAATTTGTTCACATTTCAGTCAATAGTAATTACTATGTTTTAATTGTTAGATGTCTTAAGAGAAAACTCTCCTAAGAGTTATACTGACAGAAGGGGACATAAGGAAGGTCTCCCTGGCCAAGAAGCCTGATTCAGTTGACAGCTTGGTTGTTGCTTTAAAAGAGAGTTTGGGGCTTAATTATAACTTTTCGCTTCAGTATGAAGATCAGGACTTTGGGAATGCACTTTGCAACCTAACAGACATATCAGAGCTTCAAGATAGAGCTACACTGAAAATCATTCCTATAATTGAACTAGTACCATTGAATCAAGAGGAAGTACTGGCTGACTCTGCAAGCACAGCCGACACAGAGATACTTTCTACCTCATCACAGGAAAGGAAAACACAATGGCCTAAAGAATTTGAGATCCCTTCCTTCACAGTTGATGTTGAATACCGCCTGCGACAGGGCAACCTGGCCTACCTCAAGGACAGCACATACCTCAAACTGACCAAAGAACTAAAGCATGACATCCTGGAAAAACTGGCTGAAACCATGTTCAGCTTCAAAGCCTATCCAACAAATGATGACTATGCTCAGGTTGCTGCTGCTCTGGTAAATAAGCATCCATGTCTTCTGGAAAGTGGTTCATCTACTGGGTATGGGGGGTGGAAGAACAGTCTAAAATTCAAAATGGGGAATTTTAGATCCAAGATGAGAAACTTGGGATACCCTGATGTAACCATTAATGGAGGAAGGAGAGGTATGAACAACCCTGAAGGAATCCCGTCAAGAAAACACATAAAAAAGCCAAAGAAATGTGAAATCAACTTTCTGCCAAACTTTCCAGAAGGACATGATGATGACAGCCTTGAATCGGTTCGTAAAGAAACTCAAGATGAAATGAAGATGAGAACACCCAGTCCATCCCTTCTTGCACAACAGATGGACCTGACTTATGCGCTTCGGCGTAAAGAGATTGTCGAGTCTGCACCTGCAATCAGTGATGTGCTTGAACGTTGGCCTGCCCTCTTCCGTGAGCCTCAGGTAAGTTGTCTTTCTGTTTTCAATGCAATAAAAGGACTGTTCACCTAAACCAGGGGTTTTCAAAGTCTAAGACAGTGGGCCTCCCTTTTGACACAACTTACCCAATGGCGCCCCCCCCATGTTTTTCACGTACCTCACATATGTTAACAGCTGAGCACAGCTGGCCACATCGGTGGATTCGTCGATCCAAAACTGCTTGGCTATAATCATTCTTCAAAATATCTTCCTTTGTGTTCAGCTGAGCAAAGAAATTTATACAGGTTTGGAACAACTTTACGGTGAGTAAATGATGACAGAATTTTTATTTTTGGGTGAACTATCCCTTTAAAAGTATTTCATTTTGTCAACATGTAATTTATTTGATTTATATTTTCATATCAGTAATCTTATGTATGATAGATAATCTTAATTTAAGTAATATATTCTCATAACAATGCTTAAAATAGATTGATAGTGAGTTTTTCTGGCATTAATAGAATTTCATGTTTTCCTCTAAAGTCAGACCAACCAACTGAGGTCCGAACCCTTGTTCTTCGAGGACTGCCTATCATGCTCGGAGATGAAGACTCTTCTTTCTTCAAGTCATGTTTAGTAAGTACATCTGTTCTTAAAAGGGATAGTTCACCCAAAAATTATTACCCCATGGTTTACTGACCCTCAAGCCATCCAATCAGTTATAATAAAATTTATCCTGGCTCTTCTAAGCTTTATAATGGGAGTGAATGGGGGATGAGATTTTGAAGCTTAAAAAAGTCCATCCATCATAAAACTGCTCCACACGGCTCCAGGGGGTTAATAAAGGCATTGTGAAGTGAATCAATGTGTTTGTGTAAGAAAAATATCCATATTTAAAACTTTGTAAAGTGAAATATCTAGCTTCCGGCTGACCGCCTTCCGTATTCAACTTACGAAGTGTAACGCCTCTCGCAGTGCAAAACACTTAAGGTACATCCTACATCATACGCCACATCACTTATGCTTTTTCTGTAAGTTGAATACGGTCCACCGGAAGCTGGATATTTTACTTTTAAAAGTTTTAAATATGAATATTTTTCTTACCAAAACCCATTGAGTCAATTCAGAAGGCCTTTAACAAACTCATCTGTATATTTAAAGGCATGAGTGTGAGTAACTTTTTATTTTTGGGTGAAGTATTCCTTTAATATACAAATGTGGCCAACTCTTTTGTACAAGTCTTCAAAATAATAAACTTCATTTATAATGCATACTTTAAAAAGTGTATACCAAATTCTTTGCAGGAAGAATCTACATTTACATAAATCAGGGGTAGG